TATGGTCTCTTCAGGGTATATTCCCAGTAGTGGAATTGCTGGGTCAAATGGTATCTCTATTTGCAACTTTTTGAGAAAGTGCCATACTGCTTTCCACAGGGGTTGCACCATTTTACACTCCCACCAACAGTATTCGAATAAGGGTTCCAGTTTCTTCACAACCTCGCCAGCATTTGTTGCTTGCTGTTCTGTTAAATTTTGCCATGGTCTTTGCAATCACTTGTTATGCCTCAGAGAGTTGGACAATGACTAAGGAGGATAGAAAGAGAATTGATGCCTTTGAGCTGTGGGGCTGGAGAAGAGTATTTAGGGTACCATGGACTGCTAGGAAAACAAACAGATTCTTCCTGGAGAGGGTTAAACCTGGTTGCTCCTTGGAGGCAAGGATTCTGAGACATGTTGTAAGGAGGGACTGGTCCTTGGAGAGGGACATCCTACTTGGAAGAGTGGAGGTACAGCACAGGAGGGAAAGACCCTGTATGAGGTGGATTGATTCAGTGACTGGGGTAATCGTGGTGGGAGGTGTTGGAGACAGTGCGATTGGCACAGGACAGAGCAGAGTTTAGGGCTGTTTTACATAGGGTCACTATGAGTCGCAAGAGACTCGATGGCACATAACAACAACAATCTCTGTTGGATGAGCCTAAGGAAAGAGGAGTCTTAGTTTGCTCTTTTATACTTTTTCTTCTGATATTATTTTATTTGGGACAAGGCAGAGAAAGGAGAAATAGAAAGGGACATATGCTTATTATTTTTCTAATGTTTAATAATAATATTAACAATAATAATAATAACAGTAGTGGCTAAGACTGAGAGAATGGTGCAGAATAGAGCAAGGTCTTCATTTGTTGTTCATACAGTCACCATAAGTTCAAGTGGACCCTGTGGCCCCCAACAACAATGACAATAACCAAATGCCAGGCTTTTCTGTTCTAGGTAATTTTTCATTTAATGTGGTGTTGTTTGGACTGTTACTGCTTTGTTGGTTGCTGCTGACCTTGCTGTCATCACTGACTTCTAAATGTTGATTTTTCTAGTAAGGCGTATCTGTTGTTTTGGGGGGCTCTGTAGGCTAAAAGAAACTCCCCGATGGAGCAAATCCAACCCACTTCCATCAAGTTAATGTGTCTGTTTTTTCTCCCCAATTTATTTCTATCACTATGGAGCCCTAGCGGCCTAGTTCATAAGGAATTTTGCGGCTACCGCAAAAGATGCACTTCTCTGAGGGTTTGAATTTACTAATGATACTGAAGGAAGAAAGATGGGCAATCTCTTTCTGTGCAACTTACAGCCTTGGAAGCTAATGGAGGGTAAGCTATCAATATAACTGCCAGAGTAAATTCTGACTCATAGCAATTGCCATGACAGCTTCCAAAGCTGTAAAACTTGACCGGAAGTACAGTTTTACCTATATTTTACCCACAGACGTTACAATGTATCCAAGGCATCAACCTTATAGCTGGCAGCCCAACATTCAATGCACCCTGACACCAGGGTTTCTTCTCCTTTGCACAGAATACCTTAAGTGGAATGTCCACTCCAGCTCCATTTCTCTCAAATGCCCCTCAGTCCACCCATCCCCTGCCCCAGCATTAAGTCCAGTCTCTTGCTTTAAATGTTTGGCTTTTCACAAAACACTGACAAGACAGCTGAAGGCTGACTACTTTCAGTGATGTCCACATGGCACTCAGGAACCTCACAGATCTTTACTCTGAAAATCACGGGAAGATAGGTACTTCACTATGTGTTTCTGTCTTTCTTGATATCTTTCCCGTTGTTCAAATAGCTGCACTTTTCCTTGACAAGTATTTCCCAATTTTTGCAAGCAACTGGCTTCACTTTAAGGGGAGTAATGGTCCTGTAACATTGACAAATTCAATCTCTCACACAATTTGGCCAATTTCCTTCTCTCTCCTTTCTCCTCCCAATCTACTCAGCCACACTTAAGATAATATGTACTGTATGATGGAGTGAAGGGAAAGAGGCTAGAGTGCTTCTGGACAACACTGTCTTTTCATAAACATACGAGGGAGGGAATGTTGGAAACAAAAGTATTTTGTTTCTCTTTAAAAAAATGTTGTACTACACTCTTTTGCCAATAGGAAAGTATGAATGAATATGTTTTGTTATGTGAATATGTCATGTCTTTATAATTTTTCCTTCTCTCAGTATGTGTTAACATATTAAATATTTTTAAAAAGAAAGTGTTTTAGACTGCAGAAAGTGCAATATAATTCAATAGTAATTAAATAATTTGGAAAGGAAGAGAGTTTGAGAAGGACAAGTTAAATGGAGTGAGTAACTTTAGGAACCCAGATGTAGCTCTCAAAGAATTACAATTTCGATACAATCCTTCAGAAGCTTTTAAAGTAGCACATTAAATATTGAAAACAAAAAGGTCATAAAACAGGATTTAAAAGAGTCTGCATGTGATCTCAGAGAAATAGGTCCTTCTCTGACACACATTATTCAGTTATTTTAAAAGCATCTTAGTAAAAATCATAAAGATGTTATGCATACTAGTATTAGAACAGGTTTTCAAACTTGGTTAAATAAAAACATAGCATGTATTTAAAGAAACAATAGGTTCCTCATGAGCACAATCAAGCATTCTGGGATTCCCTTTTTTTTTCAATGTTACCCACACTTGTGATCCATATAGTCAAATGCCTTTGCATAGTCAGTAACACGCAAATAGACATTCTTCTGTTACTCCGTGCTATCAGCCGAGATCCATCTGACATTAGCAATGATGTACCTAGTGCTAAGGCCTCTTTTAAACCCAGCCTGTATATCTGGTGGTTCTCTGTTGATGTACTGCCCCAGTTGTATTTTCTTTTTCTTTTTCTTTTTTTATAATCTTCAGCAGGATTTTGCTTGTGTGTGATATTAGTGATATTTGTTGATAATTTCCACACTTTGTTGGATCACCTTTTTTTTAAAAAAAAATAGGAATAGCTATGGGTCTCTTGCAGTTAATTAGCCAGGTAGCTATCCTCTAGATTTCTTGGCACATCTTCGGGAGCACATCTGGGGCTGCATCTGCTTGTTGAAATATGCCAACTGGTATTCCATCAATTCCTGGGATTTGTTTTTTTGCCATTTCCTTCAGAGCAACTTGAGCTTCCATTCTTTTTATCACCATTGCCACTTGATCATATGGTTTCATGAAATTCTTGTGTGTGAACCAGTTCTTTTTGGCACAGTGATCCTGTGTACTCTTTCCATCTTCTTTTGATGCTTCCTGAATCACTCAGTATTCTGCCCATAACATCTTTAAGGGCTGTAACTTGAGGTCTGAATTTGTTCTTCAGTTCCTTCAGCATGTGTCCCTTTTGATTGATTTTCTGGCCTCAGCTCTATGCACATTTTGTTATAATACTTTGTCTTTCCTAGCACCTTTTGAAATCTTCTATTCAGGTCTTTAACTTCTGATTTTTCCCTTTGCTATGGCTTCTCAGCAGGCTAGTACAATATTCAGATCTCTTCTGCACATGTGAAACCTATTCTTAGGCCATGAAGCAGTCATCAGAACAGAGCAAAGAAACACTGAGTGGTTCAAAATCAAGAAAAGAGTGTGTAAGGAATGTGTTCTTTCTCTTCATACTTGTTCAGTCTATATGCAGAAGACACAACCCTGCTTGCTGAAACTGTGGAGGACCTGAAATGCTTGCTGCAGAGGGTCAAGGACTTCAGCCTCCAATATGGATTGAGGCTCAATGACAAGAAGACAAAGATTCCCCCACTGGACCAAGTGGCAGCATCAGGATGGATGGTGAAGAGATTGAGATTGTTCACAGCTTTAGTTTGCTTGGCTCCACAGTCAACACTCTTGGCAACAGCAGCAAGGAAATTAAAAGACGTATTGCAATGGGAAAGTCTGCTGTTAGGGACCTCTCCAAAGTGCTGAAGAGCAGTGCTGTCACTCTGGAGATTAAGGTGTGTCTGATCCAGGTCTTTGCAATCACTTGTTATGCTTTAGAGAGTTGGACATTGACTAAGGAGGATAGAAGGAGAATTGATGCCTTTGAGCTGTGGTGCTGGAGAAGAGTATTGAGGGTAACATGGACTGCTAGGAAAACAAACAGATTCATCCT